CCAAAAGGTCCGGGAGCGTGGCCACGTTTGAATTTTGGAGTCACTATTTTGCTGACTTCCGCGAGCATGCGTCATAAAAATGGGCGTGTTGCGAGCGGCCGGCATCAGAAGGACTGAGCCGCCTCCCAGAAGTATGGGACTAGAACATTGATTCATCCTTTCCGTAACCCCGTTTGATTGGGGATGGTAAGAAGAAGAAAGGTTAAGATTAATACCTAGTTGGTCACAAAATGCCCTTCAGAACCGTGAAACGAATTGTGGACCTCTGTCCGAAGTAATATCTTGAGGTATGCCATGTAAACGTACCACCTCTTTTATAAACAAAGAGGCCAGTTCGGAAGAAGAAGGTAATTTGATTAACTGGACCAGTTGGGTCATTTTAGAGAATCTTTCGATAATAGTCAACTATTATTCTTGGAGAGAGGCAGGTCCACTACAAAATCCATGGCAATACTCGACCAGGGTTTATCTGGAATGGGCAATGGCAAGAGGAGACCAAAAGGACGACCTTCAGGTGATTTAGTAGAGGCACAGATACTACATGCAAGAACTCACGAACGTCTTTCTTGTATGAAGTCCACCAGAATTGTTTTTTGAGTAAAGATTCAGTTTTGTGAATATCTGGATGCCCTGCCAATTTGGAGTCGTGGACAAGAGATAAGACCTTTTTTCTATAAGCCAAGTGTACGTATAATTTTCCCCGGGGAACGGTTTGAGGCATGATCCTGGAATTTGGATAGTTCCTCCATTAACCCAGAGGAGACTTTGGCATGGACAGTGGCAATTATGTGGTTGGTTGGGATTATGGAGGAAAAGTGGGTTACGGGAGGTGATAAATGTTCATGTTGACAAGATAAGGCATCAGCCTTAGTGTTCTTTGACCCCGGTCTGTAAGTTACAATGTAATTAAACCGTGTTAAAAATAAAGACCATCGAATTTGCCTTTGTGACATTCTTTTGGCCCCTCCAAAATACGAAAGGTTTTTATGATCCGTAAGGATGGTAATTGGAATAGCTGACCATTCTAACAGATGGCGCCACTCTGTAAGAGCTGAGGTAATAGCCAATAATTCCCTATCCCCAATAGACAGGACTAGAGATCGAGGACTCACACAAGAACCAAGTGCCATGGTTGCCTTTTTATAGTGTGTGATCTTTAGCTTTAAAGTCATGTCCTCAAAAGGTCAGGG